TTTCCAACATTTTTGCTAAACCTTCGCATCATTCTTCGTATGACTAGTGCTTATGCAAATTGGTTTTTCCTGCGGAAAAAAAATTCGCTAATAATTCTATGAAAATAGCCTAAAGCGGTATACGACAAATGAGTATAAAAAATAAAAAAAAGTACAAAAAAAGTAGAAATTCCGTATTCGTTTACACAAATTCAGATATTTATAGCCGACTAATAAAATGTATTCTCTCGATATAAACAAATATAGCAATGAAATATTTTTACGTAAAAAAAATTAATAACTCATAAAAATGTGCGAAAATTTAAATTTAAATTTAAATTTTCTTAAATTTATTAAAATTTAAGCATAAATTTAAAAATTAAAAATGTTGCGAAAAAAAATTTTCATTAAGAAATGCATTCATCAAATTAATTATCAAATTATCAAAATTGTCAAATTAATTCGCAAGTAGATTTTGTAATGCATGAAAAAATCCATGGAAATTTACTAGGAAAAAGTTTAGCCGAAAATTTCTTGCGGGTAATTAGGGAAATCTGAATTGATGAATTGATGAAGAAAAAAATGAAATGAACTCTATTTTACATTAAAATCGCCATAAACTTACTAAATGATGGGATTACGATTCAACAAATCGAACTGATTAGTTAATTGATTATTTATGTCGTAAAAAATCATTTAACCGATTTTCAATATTTTTATTGGAATGAATTTAAACCGATAATATTAAATGATCTATTTGCTAGATAATAACCTTCATTTTTCGTTGAATTATTTATTGGTTACAAATTTAACAACAAATTGAATAATTACATTTATTTTAATGGTTAAATTCTGACGCGAGCAAACCTTATCATATCTCTGCGATAGGAGAAATTCTTCTAAACTTTTCACGTTAAATAATTCACGCACTCGTAAAAGATTCTTACGCTAATAGCGAATGCAATAAGCTTAACTGAGAAATGCTGAGTTAAGCGTTGTAGAAAAAATAGATGTTGGAAGAATTTTGACGAAAGTAAATATTTTTTTTTTAAGAAAAAACAAATGTGGCAATTTTATTGCCGAAAAATTCTCAGCCTTAGAATTTTAATTGAACGTAATAAAGTTGCTTTTATAGGTGATATTCGGTTTTTTTTATTTATGAAAGATTTTTCATAAATTTTTCAAATATCTAAAAAGAACACTTATGAAAAGAATACTTGAACTCGCTTAAATAATAATAATAACATTAATAATACTGTAATAATAAAAATAAAAATAATAATAACAATAATAATAATTCTTTAATAAAATCATTTGGCCAACCTCATCCATGGCTGTTCGTTGATGAATAGGAATAATTGTCTTATTCATAATAACTCGATTCTATAAAACAACTGGATTAATGCGATTTATGCCAATAGTAAATGATCGATGGTATCGTTGTAAAGCGTCGTATGCGCTTTTTAGGTTTATCGCAGAAAATAATCATTGCTTTTCTCACACGAAAACGATCATTGTGTGGGAGTATGGTGGTAAATAAAAAGAGCCCTACTCAGGGACTCGAGCCAATGGTCAAAAAAGTTTTTGAACGCATAGTCTGCCCAGCAATATATGGGCCCACAAGGTAAAAAAAAGAATGGCTTCTGTTAATTTCAAGCTTAGTATTGAATTGAAAGAAAGACTTGGAAATTATTAAAAAAAAAAAATTTCTTACCCTAGTTGTGGATTCCGAAATAAATAAGGCAAACCAACAATGGTGCTAAAATGGTACTGCCATTGATCAATGCACATGATTCTGGTGCATTTGAAGTTTCAAAGTAGCGTCTAAAATATGGAATGTATTGAATTCGAACAAATAGAAATAATCATGACTCAAAGAAATTTTAAAACTTTAAAACCAATAAAAAATCAAAAAAATGGCAATTTTTTTCAAAAAGCTTTTGAAATTTATTCAAAAGGCCAATGGGCGATCGAATGAAAAATTCAACGAAAGAAACTAGAAGAGAAACTGATAAAATTTCGAATTATATTTTGTTTCGTGGGCAGAACATTGTGCTTCGGCGAATACCACAAAAAATTTTAAGAAGGTTTGATGAGAAATAATTTGCCAAATATTGTCAACAATCATTAGAAAAGTTCCATTTCGGTTTCACCGATTCCTTATGTGACAATAATTGGTCCATTTATTATTTCTCGGTGAATCTTCATCGGCATGGTTTTTGCGCTAATTTCGATAAAATTTCTAAGACAGGTTTTATTTTATAAATTTTACAAATCTTATAGGAAATTTTAATTAAAATATTTTTTAAAAGCTAAAATTAAAATATGAATATTAAAATAAAATGTATTAATTACAATATAAAATTATTATAAAATTATATTATTAAAAAAATAAAAATTATATTTAAAAAAATATTAGATAAATTAGCTAAATTAATTAAAATACATTAAAATTAAAATAAATTCATTATTTTATAGAATTTATTATAAAAATTATATTATGTGAAGCAAATAAAGAAATTTAATGATATCGAAAAGTTTTATAGAAATTCAGTGAAATGAAATGAAATGAAACAGGTGCGCGTCATTGGATGAAATTCATTGAAAAGCTCATAAATAATCGCGGTGATAATTTTAATTTATATCGCAAAGAAGGATAAAATTTGTTCAATTCGATTCTCAGAAAAATAAATTTCTAAATTATCAAAAAATTTTTAATTCTTTTATTTTGTGCAATGAAACGATTCTAAATGATTAGTGAAGCAAAAGCAAAATACGAATAATAAGCGATTTGTACTAGCGAAATAGCGAATAATAGCGAAAATTTTCTAAATTTTATTTATTAAAAAATATTATAATTCGATATTTTTCGATGATTTTTCCACATTTCTTTTTCGTATTCAATGAATGAAAATTGCTAGTTTTTTTTTTCAAAGAAATATCCATTGTGAGAATTAAATCTATGAAAAAAATTCCGATTAACCTTTAACTGAAAAGAAATTTTAATGGAAATTTTAAATTTTGCACAATGTTTAAGAAATCTTTGAAAAGCTTTAGAAAATGGATTTCATTCGTTTAAAATATTAGCTTTTAGATTAGATTTTTATTTTATTTCATTTTGGTGTTGTATTGTTAATAAAAAAAAAAAAGCTATCAATCGCTGCAAATTAAAATCATTTATATTAAATAAATAAAATAAATTCACAAATAAAATAAAATAATATATGATTGCTATTTATACAAATTGGACGAAACAAATCGTTTTGATCATCGAGAAAAATTGATATTATTATTTTGGATAAAAATCAGCCATTATTAAATAAACTTCTTTTTCTAACAGCGTTTATCATTGCTGGCTTTGTTTGATTCCACTGATCACTATGATTAAGTGTATTGGCCAGAGAGTCACTTGGCACAGCTGGACTTTCAACAAAATCTGAATTTCACTCTTTAATGATACGCTTAATCTAGCAAAGGACGCGATCCATGTTGCTCTTTACTTATAAATTTCACCATTCGCTTTAAGTTAAATGATAAGATAATAGTTCCGTGTGGAAAACATTTGACAATCACAATTCAAGTTGCAAAATGAATTGAGAAAACCAAAAAATTAGTGAAATCGGTTATTTGTGGCAAAATGGACTAATAAATGGACTAATAATAATAAAAATAAATTAATGAAAGACAAAAAGTAGTCACTGCAAGATTTTATTTTTTTTTTTTAAGGGTACTCATCGTTGCCAATTAGTTTTGCTCTACTGGCCTGGCAAATGTGCCAAGAAGAGACCCTTAGCGATAGAAATACAGGTGAGTCACCAGCATCACGCAAGATTTTAATAAAAATTATCGTATTCATTCATCAAATCTCTTTTATTTGAACTTCATAATATCTTCGGAAATTTAGTGGATCTTTCACTTTATTAATCGTATTTTCATCTGGTTGACTAATTTCATCATCTCTAAATTCGCTGATTTTGGAGTACGCCTAACCCTGAAAACGACAACAGTGGTGGGGAATTTTTTTCTAGCCTCAAGCTATCTGCCGAACGAATCTCATTCTTATTCATTAGAAGCAAACAAATCAGAAATGTTGAATATTACTAGAAGCGATAAGGCGCAAACGTTACATTAAAATAAATAAATTTAGATAAATAAATAAATAATTTAGATAAATAAATAAATTTACATTTAGCTTTAATTTGCTCTTATTAAAATTGTATGGACGACTTTTTTCAATTTTTTTATTTCACTTGCAGAAGAGCGTATTTAAAAAAAAATTTAATAAGCAAGGACTTAAATTCAATGGATGAGATTCATTTTTTTTCTAAAGCAAGAAATATTTCAATTCTTGATTTATAATCAGCGCTATTTTTTATGATATCACATCTCGAAGAGACATTCTCTGATAACTTATCACTTCCAAATACTTTAAAATACGATGGGTGACTTTGGCTTGTGAGTGCTTGAATATTGCTTTAGTAACTCATATACAAACATTTAGCTTTAATTTGCTTTTAAATTTATTTATTTGTGTTTACAGTGTTTCTCAGCAAAGTATACCTAGTAAATAATATAAATAATTAGCTAAAGTGGTGATAAGATCCGAAGCATTTTTTAAAAATCTATTTATTTCATAAATTATTTATAAATGAAAATATCAAAATATAAAAAATTTATAAAATTTTTTGTGGAAAGAACATTCATTCATTATTTCCTGTTACATTCGTCTCGTTGGCTTGTCGAATCAAATGAATCAAATGAATTCCTTTAGGAACCAAGAAACCAAAAAACCAGAAAAATCCAACCATCTCTTTTTGGCTGTTCAATGAGTATAATGAGCAACGAATAAAAACAGCGTTTTTTCCTAACAAAATTATGTAAAAATATGAGCACATAAAAAATTTGTTTTAGCTCCGAAAGACATCAACGATCATTCAAAAAAATGATTTATAAGCTTAAACCAAAAGAAGACTCGTTAAATACGATGAACCCATAAATAAAAGCAATAAATAAAGTATGCTTTAATTTATTGAATTTCCTAAATTTCGTAAAACATTGTAAATAGACAAATGTATGATTTGATATGGTAAACACTTCAAGAAGGTGCCAAATTTTATGAAATTACTTGTATATGCAATGATTACATTATTTTTAGGATCGTAGAACACTTGCTGACAACCGTAACTATCATGACCGTAGCCCCATAATTCCTGAAACTTAAGGATGTCTAAGAATTTATTCATCTATTTTCCAAATTTTTTAAAATATGACAAAGAATTCAGTCAGTCATCGTTTGTTTTGATCCAAGGCCGTTCTGCTAGTTCGTCGGACCAGATAAATTGTACCAGAAAATCTTAGCTATAGAAATATAGATAAGCCTCAGAATTATCGGAATTTTTGAAAAAATAATAATTTTACTTCAACTACGAGTAAAAATTCAGTATTGGTGCTTTGAAATGAGAACTTTAATGAAAAAAATTCTCTCATCCTTCACCTTTAAGATTTTAATCAAACGATTAGACTGGTGAATTTTTTGAAAAATTTTTTCCATAAAAATTCATAAATTGGCAGTAAGAAATTTTCTCACCGATGATTTTGAACTGTTTGTCATATAATAGATGAAACCGTTGCTTCTAAAAATATTTGAACCCATAATCAAATCATCATTCTTTGCCGGTGATTGTTTCAAATAGAATTGTAATGATTCGCTAAGTTTATTATTTAGAACCTGCAAAAAAAAGGAAAAATTTGGATCACCTCAATTAAAAGTAAAAATTTAAATTTATTTTTTAAATAAAAATCATAAGAAAATTGATGATAAACCTACAATATGAAAGATTTTTGCTAAGCTTCTCGCATTTCCAACTCCAAGCATAGAACCTTCGCCAATTTGCAAGTAATTTGGATTATTGACCGTAGATGGAAAACGACGACCTAACCATGGTGGAATCATTACAAAATTTTCATCACAATTATTATCAAATGATGATAAATTGGTGAAAAAATAATCTCGATCAACTGATAATAATTTAATAGTGGAATATTCTTGATGATCTGAGTTAGAATTTTCACAAATTGGAGTCTTAACATCGTTTTGATCGATGATCATGGACTGAAAAAAATCAAATGAATTTTAATGGAAATATTTTTAATCTTTCTATAGTTATAATTGATAGAGTAAAGCCGAAATTTTTCAAAATTTATTTAAAATATTTCAGAAAAGAGAAAATGTAATTAAGAGAATAGCAATAATTTTTCACTCCACTAGGTGATAAAAGAATGATAATTTTACCAGAGAAATGATCATCGAGTTAAAACAGTTTGGATCATATCGCCACTATAAAAATTATTTAGCATTTTTAAAAATACTTTTCACCAAAATTTCTTATTTAACTTTCCCTTAACATTTCAAATGTCCTTCTATGTGTCCTTAATAATATTAATTTATGATAAAAATAATACGTCGATTTATGTAGAGGTTTTCGAAGAATTAACTTTTGCAATATTTCGATAGTTTTTTACCTTATAATTTCTCAGCCAAAAAGGATGAGCTCTAGGATCCGTTCTCCAGAAGAAATCTTTAATACTTTGAAGCCAAGTTATGGGCATAAATCTCGCTACTCGATAATATTCTTCTCTTGGTAAACTAATAAAATAATCAACTGCTAAAATTTGAAAACGATTCAAAATATTCATTTCAAATTAAACAATAAAAAGAATAATTTCCGATTGTTTTGGTAGAATCACTTAAGATCTACCATATTTATCAGCGATTTCTTCTTTGAAGAACTGAGCCAATCCTCGATGTTCAGGATCGGCGTGCCGGATAATTTGATCGATGATCCAACCATAAGTATAAGAATGGTAAGCCATTCGTGTTCCTGGCGACCATTTTGGTTTTGCATCTTCAAGTACCATTCTAAAATTCTACCAAAATTAATAAAAATAATTCGCACATCCTCTTTTTTGTCTTGAGCTTAACAGATTTTTGTAGATCAGAAAAATTTTCATTTCGAAACAAAAAAAAATTAAAAATTTCATCAAAAAATCGTCATCGAACCTCATTACAGTATGGTTTTTAAACTGATGAACAGGAATGAATTGATCCAAATAAGGCAAACCGGCCTGAAACCGGTAATATGGAGCCAAATGAGTAGAGTAGCTATCGGTTATCATAAAAAAGTATTAGATAATATGAATTTTTAGACTTTTTATTAAAAATTTATAGATTATATAAAATTAATATTGCAACTTACTGTATGTGATAAAACCATTTCTATTGTTGTTTTCGCTTTTCCATTTTTACGGAAATTCGGCCAATATTTCGATATAGGATCCGAATAATTTATATATCCTCGATCCACAAGTAAAGCGATACAAAAGGCAGCAATAATTTTTGTTGTTGATAACGTCACCACTAATGTATTCTATAAAAATACAGAAAAAAATACAGAAAAAAAGAAAATTAAAAAAAAATATAAAATAAAAAAATATAAAACTATAAAATATAGAAAAAAGTCAGCGAATAAATCACATCTTTTCGATTTTTAATGAAATTTGTCGGAAACAAATGGACTACGTTAATAGTTCAACACACTCAGCAACACACCACTCGATCATGCAGTCCCCAATTCCCAATATATATTAAATAATTAATTAATAAAATTTATTATAAATTAAAAAATTAATTGGCTTACTTTCATCCATCTTCTGGCTGCATTTCGATCCGCATAACCACCCCATAAATCAACAACTAATTTGTTTTGATAATAAACTACTAATGATGCACCTCCTTGTTCATATTCATCATAAAAATTTTGCCTAAAATCTTTACTAAAATATTATTGAAAATAAGAAATGAAAATATATATAAATAGGAAAAATTATAAAATATTTAAAGCCTAAAGGATCGAAGATAATAAAATGATAAGAAATGAAAGTGATAAGAAGATAAGAAGAAATGAATACTTGAAAGCCGATTCGACTTCATCGAATCTTCTATCGTATATTTTACCTCTGAAATAATGCGGTAATTTGGTGAATGCATTTCGATAAATATGAACCAAAATAGCGAAAAACACAACGACAAAAAGTGTACGCTTAATTTCTGCTGGAATCACCATGCAGATCGGCATTCGATTCTCTAAAATATTTTTTTTAAATTTTTGCAAATCGAAGATTTTGAGAAATCAAATCGGAAATTAAGCTTTTGAATATTTTATCTTTTCATAAATTTTTCATAAATCTTTTAAATTTAGCAGAAATTTTCATGTTTCGAATAAAAAGAAAACTCATTGATTCCAACCCATGCATCCATTCTCTGTGACAATTATCCTTCCACTAAGTCAACGAGGATAAAAGCATAAAAGGCTAGGTTTTGTCACTTAGCCACTGATTCATTTACTCGCCATTTATGATTTTTTTTTAAAGAGTCCTCACCATTACTGGTTAAACTCGCATTGGGCAATACGCAGTGGAGTCGCCAGTGTCACTCGGACTTTTATATAGGTTTACCCTTGCGAGGAATCGAACCTCAGCATCGGCGCTCCCAACTGAGCAACAATCCATCGAGCCACCCAACCCATTTGTAATTCATGAAACTGGTATGAAATGGCAAATATTTTTCAAGTACACCTTAACCCATTCTGACTAGTTTATTATGCATTTGCACCGAGAACTATCACAGCTACAATAAATAATTATAATAGAGAGACGCCGTTTGAAAAGCAGCGAACTGCAGTACTACTCGAATCAACGCTCGAATCTACAAAGCTAAACCCCCAAAACCCGAAACCACATCCACTGTCGTCATTGCTCGATTCATTGACCCCCTATTCAACCAGACCAGCCAACGAAAGAAACGTCGCATCATCATATTTACAAATATTTCAGCCAACATTTACCATCAATCAATTTGTAAAGAAATTTGAAAAATTTGGAAATATCAGATAAAATAGATTAAAAACAAATATAAACAATTTTGCACCAATTCTGTATTGATTCTGTAATTCTGTATTGAAGTACCTTTTCTGCAATATTTTTTCGGAATACTATGCAGTTCCTTGTTCCCCTGTCTCATTAATAAAACCGAAGCTACCAGACATCAGCATACACATAAATAATTGATTTTTGATGTAAGTCAAGAAAAATCACCGGATTCACAGGTAATCTACAATTTTCCGTACAATTTAGACCCGATAACAGAACAGAAAACATGATTATACTGAATGCAAAGGATTAATGGTGTTCTAGTTTACAAATGTTTACAACGAAAGGCATGAAATTTACTGTTTTATTAATAAAAAATCAAGGAAACAAAGATGAAAATGAGGAATAAAACGAAAAGCAAACAGGCAAGTGCGTTACACATTAAATTTCATTACTATCTTATCACTAACCTCTTATCAATAAATCAACAATAAAATAATTTCATGTTTTCTGTCTTCAACACAAATTTTTTGTTTTTCATACAAATAATACTTTAAATTGATCAATAATTTCTTTATGGCATTATACCACTTCACACTTAAATTCATTATTCAACAAAACAGTTTTTTGTTTGATTTTCACGAAACAATCACGAATTCTTCAGTAACTATTTCAGAAATCAAAAATAAAATTTGAGAAATGAAATAAAATTTGAGTTTTTTGAAAATTTCGTTAAACTTTTTCTGTAAAAAAGAAATCTTACAGACAAACGCAAATCAACGAAAAGTAAAGGATATAAGAAATCAATAAAAAAAAATCTTCAATGTTCACTGAGATATTTTCGACCAGCAACAGAAGTTCGTACACTGCAAAATGAAAAAAAAAATAAAAATTAAGAATAAAAGTTTTAATTAATTCAAACGATTTCGATTTTATCATCCAAAAGTCTCCTTGCGATAACCTTTCTTGTTGAAATGCTAAAATTTTCAGGATTAGCAATGACGATGTGCAAAAATGATATTGTTGAAAAACATACCACTGCTGAAGAAGGTATTGCGCAGTCTGAATTTGCGACTGAGTTCCTGAAACAGTGATGATTCGCTCGGAATTATCCTGCTGTGGTTCAATAACGATGTGTGCACCCGATTCTTCACGAATTCTATTAATACGCTCACCCCCCTTTCCAATAATTGTTCCTCCAAGCTCATTTGGAATGGTCACCTTCAAAAATTCGAGATGAGAAACTTTTGGAATTGAAACGTTTGAAACTTTTTGAAACTTTTTAAAATGAGTTTGCGAAACCTGTGTTGTTTGAAGAGGACCAAAGGGTGGTGGTGGATATCCTCCTCCCATTCCCATTGGACCTCTCCCATAAGGCCCACGAGGCCCTCTACCACCTCCATAACTACCTCGACCCATCATAGGGAAACCTCTGTCACCTCCATAACCACCGTATTCGTCGGCATAAGAAGGATCATAGAAAATAGTCTCATAGGGCCGAGTAGCACCCTTTATCGGTATCTGAAAACATTTATTAAATTCAAATTATTTGCGAATAATCTGCCTGAACAGATGAATATAACAGATGAATATGAAAGCACAAATAAATTAAAATATTTAACCAACTTATTCATATTTAAATTTTGCTATATTGAAATAAAATCAAACTTCTTTAAGCATATTGATGATCAGAATCAGGCAAGCAATAATTTTTTCTTGAGGCCCGCTGATCTGAACGACACGCTCCGTAGACTGTGGACAACACTGCGAGAACACCTACAACATCAGAAAGAAAATAAAAGATCTATCAGTGCTGAAGATACCGTTTTTAATACAAAAAATCAAGAAAAAATTAGCTACAAAATTAATTTTAAAGCATATAAATTAACCAGTAAAGACAGAATAGCCCACTAAGTTTCTGTCTCATTTCATAGTGACATAGTGATTTCTATTTTCCACAAAAATAAACTAGTTTTTCAACATCTGCCGGCGATCCACTTCGACCTCCTCGTTAAGTGATTCCCTTACAAAACTAATTTGGCCCGACAAACCAGTGCAACAATCCCAACTAAAATGAGTATTGTTAGAAAATCCCCAGTACCTTTAACTGAGTATTGGTTTCTTCACGCAATTCTTTTATTCGGCTACCACCGCGACCAATAACGGCTCCAGCGTGTGACTGATGAACCAGGACCCTCAATTCGCTATCCGATGAATTCCCTTCACGTACCTACAAAAAATAGTAATATAACATCATTTTTAATTAAATTCAGTAACCTAAAAAAAATGTAAAAGCAAGAATACCTCATCCAATTTCGGTATTATTTCGCTGACACATCGCAGAACATTATCCACTTCAGCCACAATTGCGACGATACTACAATAAATGACATTTAAACGAGGAAAATAATTTTTTAAAAAACAAAGAGATCAAAAAGATCAAATCTCACTTATACCTACATAATTTGACTATTCAAAAAAATAAAATATGAAAAACTAAACGCCAATTCCCATAAAGTAATTTTGAAAAATAATTTTATTAATAGCAATTTAATAAATTAATGACTGAATAATCAGTATCAGTATTAAGAAAAATACAAGAAATTTTTAATTATTAATTTACTAATTCTCTAATAACTAAACTACAGAAATACACGACTTCGATAATAAGTGAAAAAAAAAACAGCCTCATGAGTTAGGCGGGAAAAGATTGGGCCAATGGTATAACCACCGAATGAGTGTTCTACTTGGCCGGTACGGAATAAATTGATCGCAAACAAGAATATATCAATATAGGTGGGTTTGTATGAAGGAGGGATTACCGTTCAGGCGTCTGGCTATCAGGGATGGTGACACTCGCATCGCACTGCAAATAATGGTTAAATGGGAGTGGATTAGGTCGTACTTATATACAAGTTTTCCAATATAATAAAATATGAAATAAAAATTTGAGAATCCAAGTTTTTTTTTTGAATTAAAATTTCAGTTTTTCTAAGAAAAAGCAAAAAATTGCTATTCAATTACAATTTAAAGATATAATCTGACAAATATTTTTCAATGCAATAAGCAGTTCCGTCTCTATATCATTTGCTAATTTATTATAGAAAGGAGGTAACTGTTCATCGCATTGGACTTAATGAAATAAAATTATGAAAAACTGCAAATAAACCTAATTTTTTCATAAACAAACCTCCGAGCGGAGTCTTTTAATCGTCTCTCCGCCCTTTCCAATAATTGCACCAGCACCACGACCAGGAACAAGCAATCTTAATTCATATTTTCCAGCTGCAAGTGCTTCTTGATAAGAATCAGGTCGTTGTCGTTTACCACCTGACATACCACCACTATAGCCATAATTATAGCCATCATCACCATGACGTTTCATTTTCATTTAATTCACTTTCTGCAAATTAATAATATAATTAATAAACAAAATCAAATGAAAATCCGAAGCTTCGAAAACAGGAAAAAAGAAGATAAAACTACTAAAGCAATGAATAACGAAAAGAAGCTATTAAAAGCAGAAAAAAGAATTTAAATAATTTTACCACAGATGGATAAGTTTAAAAAACAATAAAAAACAACCGAATAAATGATGAAATGAATAAATGAATGACTAATGAAAAACGGCTACAATATTTCAATCTCAACAAATTAAACCAACAATCGGGGAGATTTGAAGATGGCAAACGCCATCCTATTTTTCCAGTATAAAATACTACCCACGGGCAGTCCAAGTCGTACCATTCAGTAGGTTAGTTAGCTAGTAGTTATTTTCTTGTTGTTTCTAGAAAGGCTCGCTCGACCGGCTATTGGAAAGAGTCACCAGAGGTCCATTTGCAGAAATACAAATTCACTCCTGCCAAGGGGGAATTATCTAACCACGATTTTCAAAAAAAAACCACGCATAAATAAACTAATATTTTAAAAATTCCTTAACAAACTCCCTAAATTCCAGTAGAACAAATTAAATCGATTGCAAAAATCAATATAAAAGTTATCGGTAAATTTCGTCCGTCTAAGTATCGACCTTCATTTTAGGAAAGTTCGTCACTCCTTCATTTCAACCAAATGTGGAGAACATATGGAACTAGAATGATAAATTAAAAATAAAAATTATGAAGAAAGTTTATAACAAAGGGGAAAAAGGTGAAAATTTCCTTCAAAATCTGATATCTCTTCTTAATTTAAATTGGTGTGCTGAATAAATTGCTTAACAATCCAAATATAAGAGCACTTCACAAAAATACAATTCAGACTTTCCAGACCCACAACTATACCAACGCTACGAAAAATCATTTGTACCAATATTGGCAGCTCAATGTCTAAATGCATCAGTGAATGCTGCTTTCGATTCCACAGATGATGTTCTACAGAATACAGTCAGAAAGCATAGATGACAACTTCTCGAGTTGAGCGCCTATGTTGTACCCAATTTCCCACAGTTTTCATCTATGCGCTTAGTTTACAGAAAACAGATTGCCAGCATTCAGAAGAAATACATGTATGCAGAATAAACTATCACAAAATCTTACATACGCTCTACGTAGTCGTTGAAAAAGATTTAGAAAATAAACGCTATATGCGCTGATTGACAATTAAGCGAAAACCACGTAGCGTAACACTACAAATGAGGAATGCTTCCCATCTTATGCAACAAATACTGCTAAAACTTCCATTTTTTGAAAATTCATCACCACTCTCACCAAAACACGTCATACGTCACACGTCATAATACGTCACACGTCACACGTCACACTGCGGATATCCCTAACCCGTTTATACAATTTATGGGCAATTCCAACTCAGATAGCTAGCTGCAAATCGAATCGACTCATTCAACGGACGAAATCTCCGCGAATGCTCGCACACCTACTACAATACGGCCAGGAAAACAAAAGAGAAAGCCGCCAGTCGTTGACTGCGGCCGCCTAAATTTCTTATATGCCCGCTGCGTTTATAAAATTTCACATGAATGCCCTCCTCACACAACATGCATGAGTCCACCTCCCACAACTTCAAAATTCATGATCCATGGTAACCTCACGCTGACTATCCTCAAAACTCGGCCACTCCAATACTGAACTGTTCATAGTGTTAAATAATCACACGAATCGAATAGATTCGACCGTATATTCAAAATTTTTTACCGTTAAATAAAAAAAATTTATAAAATTACAATCAAAAAAAGAGGAAAATCGGAAACCAATAAATAAATAAGAGTATAAAAATTCTCTGAAAGAAAATTATTCGCATGGAAGCTAAAAAAAAACCAATAGAGATAATATGAGAGAGGAAAGTATAAAGTGATTAATGAATGATAACAATAAAGAAAAAAAAAACGAATATTACTAATTTTTTCTCATAATTCATATATTTAAGAAAAAAATATAAAAAGAAAAACATTTTTGTTATTATTATTATTAAAATTATTATTATTAAAACAAGAAAAAAATAAGGCATTTACTACAAAAATCCCATTTTTTTTGTTTCGACATTGTTTAAAAAAAATGAAAATCGTTACTAAAAATTTTACAAAAAAATTTTGATTATCACAAAAAAACATAATAAAGAAGAATATAAAGAAAAAATAACAACAAAGGAAAAACGGCACGAATTAATAAGAAGTAACGAGAGATGACCGCGATTATCGCATATCACAGACGCGTATAATTTCTTTGGCCTTCACTCCATATTTATCTACGTCACTTGATCACAGCATAGTTATGAATAATTATCAAAACAAGGCCTCATTTAATGGTGAATAAAAATTTATAACAAATAATTTACTGCATAATTTACCACAATCATATAACACCACATACCTATCGCATTACGAATAGGAAAATGCTGAAATAAACCTTCTCTCTAATGCAACGATATGATAAAGGATGCCTTCGAAAAAAAGATACATGAATTCATAATGAATGAGAAAAGGCAAAAAAATGAAAGTTGGGGAAATTTCCAATAGTGCGAGAAGAAATTTTCGTAAAAGGAATTGAACAAAGAAATTTTACTTTATTGAATTTGAAAAACAAGAATTTCCTTACTTTACTTTAGAAACTGAAAACCGTCCCAAAAAAGTAAAAAAGAATGGTTCTTGTTTTATGGGATTATGGGATTTAGCATAAAAGAAAAAAGCACTAAAATCAGTTTGAATTTCCAATAATAAATAAAATCTTTAAAGAAATAATTGAATCAAAATACTAATCCCATTAAAACATTGAATCAAAAAATTTTTTCCCTAAGGCGAGAAAAAATAACAATAAATAACATTAATTTGAATTAAAACCAAAAATCCTAGAATAGATAATAACTACGATTGAAGTATCGACAGTTCAGGCACTTTTACTGGAATATTCCCACGACCCGCTGGACGACCACCACGTTGTCCACCAGGTGGTCTGCGACGAAATGGCATTGCAGTTTTCCCTGTTATACTTGATAAAATCGATGGATCAATGCCCTGGAATAATTTTATACAGCGCCAAATAAAGATTCTTATTTTGCCACTTTTGTTAGTTTCCATAGAATGCAAATATGAAGAATCATTACAAGAGAAATCAAAACCTGAGCCATGAGAGATTCTTGAACATCCTTTGTCATTTGAACAAGCTGTTCAGCAGAAAGACCATCTGATGACATTGACAGCACACCGGTAGAAACATTAACCACAGTTTTACCATTATCCGTATCCTTAGAGATTTCCTTTCCTCAAAAACTATCTCCATTTTTTATCAGAAAGATTAAGCAAATTAGTAAAAAATTTGTTCTTAAATCTTATCAAAACTATTCTGATTTTCTCACAAAATTTTTTGAAAAAAAAACCTTTAGAAGCTGGACTCGTTTGATAGATTCCAGAATCCTCGCCATATGAACTATTAAGTGAAGAATGGCTAGTTGCATTTTCCATTATCGGCGATGTAGCGCTAGCGGTAGGGAACGAATCTGATATAGTGTTCGGAATATTTGATGTTGATGATTTGAAAGTAACTACTGAAAAGTTAAAAAAATAACCGGAAACACACTAATGAATTTTAAAACTTATAGTTTTTCCTATTTTCCATTCATTCAATTTAATTCGAATTTAATCTTTTTTATTATTTAATCCTTTTTATTTTTTATTGTTTTAGAAAAAAATTCATCACAAAGAACAATTAACAAATCGTTCATGAAACATAAAAAAGCTAGATCAACATGAGAAGAACGAACTTTCACCAAAATTCTTGATAATCTTGGAAATCGCTTTCTTATCACAATTGAAACGTTGTCTCTCCGAGAACTGTTTACCAATAAAACAACTACTTTGCAAATAACGCTTTATTTCATCAAGTAAGTCTTGCTGTTCTCGATCGCTCATAGCATTCAATCGCTCAATACGACGAACAAGATTATTAGCTGTATGTTGGCGTTCTTTCAAAAGATGTGCATCATCATCATGAATACGGCTCAGTTCGGCCAAAAGATGTCGCTCACGTTCATCTATTAATTGCCTCACTTCCTTAAAAACTAATATTTTTCGAACAAAATTTAAAAAAAATACAAGGCAAAACAAATTTCGTACACTGAGAAATAAAAAACAATAACAATTCGCCTTTTTAAAAAAAATCACAGATTAAATTCAGATTAAAAAAAAATTAATCATAATCATAGATCTTTTTTGATAACATATATTTACGTAAATTTGTGTTAAAATATGACCTTAAAGGTATTACGCACGACTTCCTGATCTGAATGCATTTGCTGGTCAATATTATTCTGGTACCTAGAGATTTCGTCCCCGAATGAGGCTAGATTTTTCTTGACCATAGGAAATTCTAAAGCATAAAATATTTGATTATTGATATGTTCCATTCGTAAATGAATATACAGTCTGAAGTTACAAATCATTTTCAGAATCTTGAATTTTTCAGATTGTTAATACAATTGATAAAAATTCTCAAGTCTTAATGACTTAAAAGCTTTTACTGCATCTTACCTTTTAAATTAATTGAGCTAAGATGATTATAGCAATCGAATTCATGGTTAGGCACTTTTGCATTAGACGCAGATGAATTATCAAACGTTTGCTTTTTGTTTTTCGCATCCTTTATAGGTACTATACCTGTAATTGCAATGAGGAAAACCAAATGAAAATAAATTAACAGTAGAATTCTTTGAGCCATTAAAAACAGGAGGAATTTCCGAAGCGAAATAAATTAGACTTATAAATAAAAAGAATAACCGTTGGTGGTGAAGGGAATATTATTTGAAACCCTCTGCAACTTTTTAGAAGAACGAGATGGTGAAAAAGGTTGGGAAATAGTAGAAGCAATCTCAGACGATGCAAGCGGTGTCGTATTAGATATAAACGATACGGGAGTAGATGCCGCAGAAGTTGAGGATACACGAACTGCGTCCGGTTTGGTTTGCATGCTGGCACTATGCAGTTCGGCCTAAAAAAAATTGTTGATCACATCACTTTTGTGATTAAAAGAAATAAAAAAAATTTTTCGATTAACATTGCTTTGGAAGATCGAAAAAGAAAAAAAATTTAGTCAACGAAATTTTAGATAAATAAATAATTTCTTACAACCATTCCATTTTCAATTTATTTTTTCCTTTTGTTTAATGCAGGAAAAATTAAAACCTTTTTCTTCGTCACCTGCTTCTTTTTCTTCTTATGCCCCGTTCGCTCCCAAGTGTCAAGTGCACTCTTCGCACCATCTAAATAAATAAATTAAGGCGTTCTTTATCTCCATAATAAAATTAATATATAAAACAGATAAGACTTACCCTCATAAAAGGCCTGAATTGTTCGATTAATATCCATCTCGTAATTCAACAATGCCAAAGCAACTTCTTCTTTAGGCGCAGTCCGAACTACTTCCCGAACTTTAGCAACAGCTTCTTGAAACCGCTTTGCTTCCTCTTTTGTCGTCATCTTTGCAGGCTTTTTTTCAAATTTAGATCCCTTCAAGCTAACAAACAAACTGAAACAAATTAATTCAAAAGAATTCGAATGATTCTAATAAATTCGTTCTTAAACGTCGCAAACGAAAAAAATAAACAAAATCAAAGCCATTTTTCTCCGCCAAAAAAATCAGTAAAAATCAAATTAAAAAAATAAAAATTTCGACCACTCAATGCCTTGCAATGCCCGAAATAACTCAAAACTCAAAATTTTCACTAAAATATTATAGCAATTAAGCAGATGGCTTGAATAACCCAAAGACTCTGCAATAATACAAAGGTCAGATCGATAAAAAAAACCAGAAGATGACCTTTCATATAATATAAGTTAACGATGACGCAAACTTAACGACTATGCACAATTTTTATAAATTTTTCCAACTGCTCTTTACCGGAATTATTCGATTAATTTTGCCTTGACAAAAATGATACAAGGGTCATCGATAAAAACTAAAATGGTTTAGGGAGTCGTTATTCTCATTTCGCAACACCGATACTTCCTATTTTTCGAAAATGCACATAATGCTGGCGATTCGCCACTACATTCTTCACCATCGATGCGCTAGCAGAATTTCTTTCTTTCACCGAAGACATGCCAACGAAGCAAACCTAAATACCGGAAATACCACCAGGAAATAGAGCGATGTCACCAGGAAAAAAATATACTCGATTGAAACATTATTACCACCTTTCATTAACCAGTCGTCTTTCAAAATAAATTTAAAATGATAAAAATAATTTAAAATTGTAAAAATTTCAAAAAAAGGCTATTCAGATGATTCTTTCTGTGTAAAAGCTTATCTTTTTTACATGCAAAATAATTTTCTCGATTCATTATAATAGCTTTAAATATTAACTAAAGTTAGAAAGTTTAAAGTTTAAATATTAACTAAAATGACCATCCGAACACTTCCCAAAAATAAGCACATTGGATATAGAAATGAGTACAAACCGGCACATCGATCATCAAGAAATAACACAACATTACGTACAAAACTAAAAGATGTAGAGAGACTCTTAACGAAATGACAAGCAACGAAAATTTGAAAAAGAGACGAGGTAAAAAAAATTATACGATGATTATCCCCATGGTCATTTATTTTTTTACGGTAACTAAATAAACATAGCAAAAACAAACATTTAAGCGAAATGCGCCAAATAAAAAAATAGACGACAAAAATGAAAATCAAATAAATTCATTAAAATTTTTGATTCAAATTTCCTAAAATATTTTTTTATAAAGTAATAAAAATAATAAAAGAAAATTTTAAGCAATGACGCTTCTTAAATATGTCAAATAATTCACTAATATCTCTAAATGATCAAAAGAATTGCTCCTTAAAAATTCAAGGTCATTTCATTTAATTCTCTAATATTTAGGCTCTAAATATTCAAAAAATTATTAATACAACTGAAAACTTAATGCAAGAAAAATAAGGGAAATAATATTTGTAAAATACAACCGTGAAAAAAACAACCAATCCCAATAAGAATTTAATAAGGTTTTTAGAATACAGTTAGGAAGTCATAACGAATTGAAAATATCTCATTACAATAAAAATAATGGAAGATCATAAATCATCGACAGAAGTATAATGTTGCGTAAAATAAAAGATAACAAGCAATAGATGAAATGGTGACGACCTTCAATAACGTTCGATTCCTTAATCGCCTTATGTGTAAAACTAAGAATTTTAAAATTGTGATTTGAAAATTTATGCCAATTTTCAAAAAAAAATATCGAAATCATTTTAAAAAAACAAAAAAAAGAAAAATATTGTTTGAACTAAACAAATTCAAAATCAAAAAAAAACTTGATTACGATTCCAAATTATTTCAAAAGATATGCCATTTACTGTTATAACGCGAATTATGACGCAGTTGAACGATATGTGATAAATTTCCGCGAATTCTGTAGAATACAGCGAATAAGGTCATCCGCGATTTATGAGTTTACTCGAACTACACAGATAAAAGAATGATACTCGAACCAAGGTAATATTAACCACAGTATCATCTAAACCATCCATCTTTATTCTTTCATACCACTCTCCAAAAATATTCTTTAAAATTGTTCTTGTCGTAAATTAAATACTTTTTGAAAGGGACCATTTCTTCATTCCATTTATAAACACTTTCGGCTTTATAAAACAATCGATTCTTCATACAAAATTATAAAAAAACTCACATATTTCGTACTGATTTTTCTATTAAATTAAAATTTTTATGTTACACAAACTGGCTTGCATTTTTGATAGAATGGATTCATCGAACGAGAACATGCAGCTCGCCAAAATTTAGATAAGAATTTTTCCCTGCCTAAAATTTTTGTGCTTTAATTTATGTTCGCAACAAAAAATATTGAATACGAATAACTGTCGCTAAAAGAATTATATTAGGAATTATATATTAGAAATATATTAGAAATAGGAAATAAAAGAAAAGTTTTCCATAAAACTAAAAAAAAAATTTTCATTTTATTTTATTTCTCTGCAAATTTTATATTTAATAATATAATATAAAATATTTATAAAAAATTTGACCAGAGGGAATTGATAATTTTCAAAAACAATCTCACTTTGGATAAAAAATCGACCAATATAAATTTAAAGAAAAAAAAATCAAAACAGACCGCTCAATTTATTTAATTTAATAATAAAGTACAAACCATTTGAGATTTAAAAAAAGACAGTCATACATTTTTTGAAACTAAACAATTAAGAAATCTCGATAAATGATCTTTTAAAATTGTCATATACTCGAGGATATTAACTGTTAATATCAAAAAAAATTATTCGATAAATGTTGAATCATATACTATAAAATAATATATATAAATATATACTATAAAAAAATTATATAATATATATAATAATATATATACTATAAAAAAATTTTTTATTGAAAAATTTTAAAAATACTTACAAAATAAATGAATTCCAATAATTCTCGATAGTTGAAAATTGAGCATCAAGAAACTGTAGAATTACTTCAGTAAAAATCGCTGGAAGAATCAAAGAATATTCGAAGATAATTTGTTTCAAAATATGGGACATACAAATTTTAACCAGCAATAATATCCAAAAAAATAAAATTCAATAAATCCCAAATTTTATCAAATATAACAAATTAATATAACTATATAAACTTTCAGTTTTTCATAAATAAACTTTTCTATTTATTACCAATTTTCCAGTTCACTGATTCTTCACTGATAATAAAATAAAGAAAAAGCCAATAACTGCAAAAGAGGGTCAATTGGAAATTGGAAATGATGACATACAATATCAAATAACAATAAAATAAATAAAATCTATTTTTTTCAATAAAAAATTGAGAGAGAACAAATACATTTTATCGATAAAAATTATTGTATTGCTAAGCAATGATATTACGCCGAAAATTTTAGTCCATACATTATTATCATATCAAATAAATTCAAAAGCAAAAATATTACGTAAATTAATTGAATAACAAAAAAGCAATAGAATTTTACTCAACTAAATATTAACTTAGCACCAATGCCGGCCAAATCGAATAAAATATCAATCAATAAAATATAAAATAAAATATCAGTATCAATCGAAATCAGCGTATCTCGCTAAACAACTATTAGACTTTTAAATAAACATTATTTTCAGTATATTTAAAATATATTTTATTGGAAAAAATATTTTTAAGAAAGTAGTACGGACGAAAAAATATTTTTAAGAAAGTAATACGGACGAAAAAATATTAATTTATTCCAAAAAATAACCGTTGCTAACATTTTTTTTGCCAATATATTTCAGTCATTTGCCCAATAAACTAATCTGACTTAAGCAAATGCATCATTATTTTTATTGATTTTCCAATTTTAACCATTTTTAAAACAATATATTCCAATGAAAAATATATACAATGGATATATATTAAGATAAAACGTGATCAGTAAAATATTTGATTTGTACTAGAACTATTTGCAAACGATGGGCTTCAATCAATGTCCCATATCCGATGCCTCTAGCAAGAGACCCATTTATATGCCAAGCAATGTCTTGGCAAAAATTTTAAATGTAGTCAACAGCGGAATGACAAGCTAGCCTAACCACTTTATTTAAGCGTTTTATCCATGAATATATCATTAAAGTTCTTCTTTTTTCTAAGAGCTCCATCCCATTATTTCTAGTTGGTCTCTCCTTTCTGGTTGCTGAAGCTTGTCATTACATAGATGAAACATAAATTTTCTAAAATAGCGCATATAAGAATTCAAACTCAAATGAAAAGAAAATTCTGGTACTAAAAATATTATTTCATAACGCAAATAAAAAAGAAATAAATGGTATAAACAATTATCAAATTACATTTTCTGAATGTTTAGAAATCTTATCAGCCAAAAATCAGAGATCAAAAAAAGAAAAAAATTCAATCAGCTATTCAATTACGATGAATAAAGATAATGCTATAAAATAAGTTAAATTAACGTGTAAATCATTAATTGAACTCATATACTCTCATATTATATATTAATTCAATTCATATACTCTTAAATGCCATCAGAAAACCACTGCTAGGCAAAATTAAGATTTTGCAGCCATCATCTCGAATAGTATCGAGCCATTCAACTCTTTTCCAATACTCTCACTTTTTTTGCAAACATAATTCGGGAAACAAAAAAATTTACATAAAAATGAAACTCCACAAAAATACTGCCAGATGATGAGCACTTTGACTCAACCATGAGAATGAGTTCATTGACATTCCGGACTTAATCCCAGTCATTTGGCGCAAGTAATCCATATCATAAAGTAAAAAATTATAAAATGAAACTATAAAATAAAGAGAAAACCTTAACATGAACTAATGAAAGAAAGATGAAGTCATTTTCATATTTAAAAACACAATATTATTTTCACATTTGAAAATAACTTTTTGCAAAATTAACTGAAAAAAAAGTAACTGAAGTTCATTGAAGCATTGAAAAGATTAAAGAAATGTTCACATCATCAAATGAAAAAGAAAGAGTATATGAATTGAACGCATTTAGAATCACAGACGTATATAAATACAAAACGAGCTCCAAGTAAAAAATTTACAAAAATCAAGACTAAAATCGGAATAAAAAGTCACTAAAAATTCGTAAATAAAAATACCTTCGTAAGATGAATCTGCTGCATTTTTGAAACGATTTAAAAAAATTTTTCACACAATACGATACGCCGAAAAATTGCTCCGCCACGATATATATTCAAAATTTGTGAAATTTAATCAACAAATTCAAATAAATTCGAATTTAATAAATCTAAAACTAACAATTTGTTATGCGTTATTAATTTTACAATTACCAATTCATTTGCGACAAAAATATAATTTTAAATAAAAAGCAATACAGTTTTTTCGCTCATTGATGAAATATCATTAAAAATATAAAAATTATAATATATGCAAATATATCAATACAAATCAACATGGAATAGATGTTTACTAAAATGGATCGCAATACACCATTTTTTTTCCCTCTATGTTTCTTTTCTATATATTTTTTGTCTAAAATAAACATATATTCATATTTTATGCCAAATTCGTTAACAGCAAACTTTTTTAACCTTTTTATGTTCAACTTTATATTTTTAATATGAAAAATAATGCCCAACAACCAACTGATATCATAACTGAATTAAAAAAAAATATGACAATTTACATTATCAAACGAAATATTCAACAAAAAAGAAGGCAATGAAGAGCATTAAAAAATGTGGTCTATTCTTTTGAATTCTAAATTTGATGTTTTCAATCTTTTGATGAAACAATTGATAAGAAGATAAAAATAAACGAAAAAAAAAAGTAAAAAAAATCAAGCATTTTAATGTAATTTAATATAACAAAAAAAAACGGAAAATTCATTAATTCCCATCTGTCGAATAAATTATTGGTAAATAGCAGCCGTTACAAATATAAACGCCAACGCAATTTAAACACCAATTTGCTCAAAGACAGCATTTGCATTCCGATAAATTTCCTGTCCAAATGCTCTCAAACGAATGATAAAAAAATGAAATGCCAAAAATCATAAGAATAAAAAAAAAAATAATTAATGATATCTAATAATAATTGGCTTAATCACCAATTAACCATTTACACACTTAACTATCTATGTTCCAATAAATGATGAACTAGTGGTGTAATTCTCGAATTTTTTGTGACCTTTAAAAACTTTGTCACTGTAGAATTTTTTAACAATCTGAAACCATGGAATCATTGATAATCCAACTAAATCAAATTTTTCAGATAATTTAATTGAAACAAGATTCCTTTCACAGTTTAAACTATGGACTTCATCCAGAATCTGGTAAAATATATGGGAAATGTAAATCAAAAAACTTATATGAATATAATAGATAATGCAAGAAACTAAAATTATAAACAGTAAAATACGACATAATGAATGAAAATATAAGAAAACATCAGATTATTTTCACATCATAATTCGATTCGATGAAAACCATATAAATCGTGAAAAATTAATGACTCTCCAAATTCAAAATTAAATTTAAAAATTAAAAACCCATATTAAAACAATATCAAAACTAAAAAAAAAAAAACACTTCGATAGAACACCTATTGAAAAATAAAACAGATGGATTGATGCTCTCATTTCCGAGCGGTAAGATGCAGAGGTTTTACTTATAGAAGGGATAAATCTGCATTTAAAAACTCCGGATGGCGCTGGTGAATCACCTCCACTTCTACCGTCAAGTAATTCCCCGGCAAAATCCGTCCGCCCCAACAAATCAGCGTAGAAAGCCAGGAATATTAAACGCCCTTATAAAAGAAAAAAAAACTCCGCAGAAAACTGATACAACGAAATTTATCAGTTTCGTCGCCAATTTATCAATAAAACTTATCAAAATTTATTAAATTTGTATAAATTTATGTAATTATATAAATTTATTAACCAGTATGATTTATGTATAATTTGGAATTCTACAAATTTGCTTTTATCAAAATTGGATATTTTCATATTTCCATCAAAAAATCTTCCTTCACAAATTTATCCTCTTTTCCGAGTCACAAACAATAATCACAAACCAAGGTGGTACCAAAATAATCAATTCCACGCACCAAAGTACCCCTCAAACATTCTCCTAACAGCCAGTAATGTTACAACAAATACAACTACAATATCTATTCTACAAAATTCATAGTTCATACGTTGTCATAGAATCGTTCCAAGATCAAACCAAATATCTCAATTCGAATATTAGAACATTTACAGCTCTATAATTATGCTTAAAATTTTGAAACTTGTATAAGCTCTTGAAACTTGTACAAAAGTTTCCACACAAGTTTTCCTAAGTTCAACATGGAGAAGAAGATTGTTACCGTTCTTTTCAAATTGTACCAAGAATACATTAGTATTATTAAATTAAATTATCTGAATTTTACGCGATTGACACTCATCATTTCTGTAGGATAAATCTATTGATTGACTATTAATAAGGTTAGAAATTTTAGCGAAGGAATAGTTAGGCGAGAGAAATACCGATGGACCCTTGGGTACCACCTGATTTGACAGGTTTACTCGAGGAAAAAGATCGAAGCAACGATTATTACTCGATCATTCCCGCAGCATTAGTCGAATTTTTATTTCAATTTTAATAAAACTAAAAAGAATTATAAGAAAGCATAATTGAAATTTTTTATGGAAAATCAATATGATATCATCCAAAAAACTTTTCGAATTTTTTTTAAACTTAACCTATCAAACAGCAAAAATTTTTTATTATTAAACAAATATTGTTTATATCAAATGATTTATTTGATTTTTTTTATCAGAAGAAATATAGAAAATAACAAAAAAAATTATCGTTTTTTTTTATGTCGGTAAATAATTTGAAACAGTAAGGTGGAAAGTAAAATCAAAAATCGAATGAAATCAAAACCACCATAGATTCGATCCCTTTCTTATGTTGGAAAGCAATATTAAAAGCAAAATCCTGAAAAAGTCCCTAGGATCCACCCGCACCTGGAGTTACCTCCCTAATAACTGCTCGAAGTGTTTAAAACGGAAACGGATGCATCTTATTGGAAAAAGGAGATTTAAATAATAAAAATTTCCTCATATTGGTCTCAGAGTGATTTTTCGATTACTGTACAAATAATTTGTATGGAGGGGATTTTTTTATAGGTAGATAGGTGCTTGTGAATCTGAGAGTTGTATATGACCTTTGTTAGTCCATTTCTTGCCTTTATTTTGATCGAGCGAGTTGATTTCTTATCAACCACTGATAATTTTGGCTATTAATGATAATTTTGATAATAGATAAATTGTTGATATTAGTGTCGATTATATGTGCATTAATATTAGTTTTTTCTTCAGCTTTCTTATTCTTCTTATTAGTGGTTAAGCTGGTTCAGCTGGCTACAACGGTAAGGTGTCCCTAGGCTATTCGATCCAACACTATCAGTAATTCTTTTTTCCATCGTTTAAATCCATATATATAGCTGGTTCGCCCAATTGTTCAAATTTCTTTTCTGACCGTGCCAGTCCAGGTTTTGATTGGTCTATCTCGCTTTTGACGCCATCCATCACAGAGTTTAGCTTGTAACGAAATATTTATCAACTCTTGCGGTGGGCGACGAAGAATGTGCCCTAACCAGCGAAAGCGATGCATGTGATGGTATTGTTAATGTAGATGGTATCTGAACAAAGGTGAATGAGATTTTATCACCTCGACGGACCCTTATCTCAAGAGATGAGTGGTCAGAGTCAGATAATATCTTCCAATCTCATTGGCCATATCTTGCAGTCATATAGCAAGCTATACTAATGTGCACTTTCGTTTTTATAGTGATTTTGCCATTGCTCTATAAAGAAAGAATTCGTCAACGGGAAGAATTCTTTAAAATTTTAAGCTATCGTTGTTATCCTGTAATTTCGTCTTTTGCCCGGCTATTTGAGATTAGAGTGGATCTAAGGTATTTAAATCGCTTTCAGCTAAATTACTTTCAAATTTACGAATATCGATGATTACACTTTAGTTTTGTCAAAATAGGCGAGTTCCATTAAAAGTAATTCGTAGTAATTTAGTTTTGTTACCCTTAATCTTAAAAGCAGTAGGTAAATAGAGAATTCTTTGAATAATTTTCTGCAAAGTTATAAATTTGAGGGATAAACGGACCGAAAGTAGTTTCAATAAAGTAGTATAGTTTTTTCCAGTTTTTCTTATCATTTTCTTTGTTAGTTTTTTTGGCAAATTATAAAATCTTTTTTTTTCAATACAAATTCGGATAAAACAGATTTGCAGGGAATATGCATCCTCTTTCATTAAAAGGACATGATAGAGCTTTAACAAGAGTTCGAATAAATCGAGACGGTGATTTATTGTTTTCGTCTGGTAAAGATAAAAGTTCAAGTGTTTGGTATATGGAAAATGGTGAAAGAATTGGAACTTATGATGGTCACAATGGTGTCATATGGGATTTAGATGTTTCATGGGATACAAAACATCTTTGTTCAGCTTCTGGTGATGATTCTATTAAGGTCAGTTATTATCATTATTCATTATCATTTTTTGTTTTTTTAATTTTGTTTCATGTAAGTTTCAAAAATCATTTATTTTATTTAGCGAGCTTTGAAATTCTCTTTTTTATTCATTTTTAAGATGATTTTTATTAAATTTTACCAAACTTCGGTTTTATTCTTTAAATAATTTCTGTCAATAAGTTTAATAATTTTTAGTTATGGGATTGCGAAACGGGTCATATCATTAGTTCTCTTTCAACATTAACTGGTGCTCGTTCAATAAGTATGTCATACAGTGGAAATATAATTGGTTTTACGACAATTAAAATGACTCAGAATCAGGTATAAGAGGAATTTTTTAAAATCTTTTTTTCAATTTCCAGACAAGTTTATTTTTTCTTCTCATTATTATTTCATAAAATGAAATAAATTTTATTAAATTTAATTAAATTAAATTTTATTTTAAATAAAATTGTCATAGTCCATAGTCCATTCCAATTGGATTTTCTTTAAATCAGGCTTAAGTAAATTATAGGCTTCACTGTGCGTAATTGATATTCGTGATGGATCACAAATGACTGGAGAAACTTCCCCATTACTTCGAGAACTTCTTCAGATTCAGGCAAATTCCTGTGTTTGGACTCACTTAGACGACACAATTTGCACTGGTATTCCTTCAGAAATTTTGATGTGCAAATGATCTTATGTATCGTTCTTTTTCTTTAATACTTTACAATGGAATTCGCTGAAATTTCGGATAGTTTCTTGTTAATTTGATTTATTAGTGAGTAAGGATTGCGATGTTTTATTTTTTATGCTTTTCAACTATTTTATTTTATGTTTTAGGTAATGAAAAAGGTCATATACATCAATTTGATTTGCGTGAGCGAAAAATGTCAAATTTTAATGATCAGTCCCATAAATTCCAAATTAATGATATGCAGATGTGTGAAGAGCAAGGTTTCTTGATAACTGCATCGAAGGATAAGACAGCTCGTTTATTTGATGCGTACACTTTAGATTGTCTCAAGATATACAAGTAAAGTTTTGAATAAAATGATTTCCAAAATTTTAATCGAGCTCATTGCTTCTAATGTCTGAAGTGATTGCTTATAATTGCTGATGATTAAATTATTATTATGTTCAAAATGATATCAGATAAACTCAACTTATTCAACTTCCATAATAGCTTCAGATTGATTGTGAATTAATAAATGGCTAGCGTTGAATGACATTCCATTGCTAATTTGCTGATATGATATGAGATTACTCAACTTTAGGTCAGAGCGACCTGTGAATTCAGCAGCGATATCGCCAATTCGCGAACATATTATTTTAGGTGGTGGTGAGGAGGCGATGAAAGTAACTCAAACGGTTCTTTCATCGGGCCATTTCGAAGCGAAATTATACCATATGGTTTGTTATCTTTTTTTTTTATATGATTTGTTTTTGATTTAAGATCACTCACTATTTTTGGTCAGGTCCTCTCCGTATGCTTATCGGACCAGGCAAATTTTACTAAAATCATTTATACAGTACGTACATATGTACAGGTCACTGACATCACTTAAATTTTTGAAAAATAGCTTTACTTCTCACTCTTGCCAGAGTTAGAATTCCTGCATCGGCACCGAATTAATAGCAATAACCTATTGAGCCATTCTATTTTATTTAATTAATTAATAGTAATTTAATGAAATTAATTATTTGTTCAAAAGTGGCTTTAACTGGGTTATATTTGCTCTTCCAGTTTTTTTTCTATTTTTCTTTTCAGGTATTCGAGGAGGAGTTCGCTCGTTTCAAAGGACATTTTGGTCCTATCAACACGTTGGCTTTTCATCCAAACGGTACTGCAGTTGTAACTGGTGGTGAAGATGGTTACATTAGGATTCAAGAATTTGATCCTGATTATCTTAATTTTGATTATGAATTCTGAATTATGAATTTTGATGGGTTTTCCTCATTTCTTAATTCTAGAAGTTCATTATCCCTTTTAGAATCTGAGTCGCGCGACACTTAATTGTCTTAAAATTTTCACAAATTTCCTTTAAAAATTTTACAATTATGTTGCTTATGGATGATTGCTGATTTTCCCGCGCCATTTAAGATTGAATTTTTTCATCTTATCGAATCCAAGTTTCTTGTTGTTTAAACTACTTTGAATATAAGCTTTATATATTGTAAGCAATTGTATTTATTTATATTTATTATTGATGTATATTTCGACTGTAAAGATTTATAAATCATTACACGGGAAAAAAATTTTTTTAAGAGGAAAAATATTTTTTTATTGTTGTTAATGTTTTTTCAGCATTCATATAGAATGATATTGTTGTTAAAAATTTCTTCGATAGATTATGTTCATCTGTTTACCAGACTTCAGAATTTTAAAACGAAACAACTGGCACAAGTTGGTTGACCAATTAAAAATTTTCTTCCATTTATTTATATAAATTAATATAAATAAGAATATAAATTAATATTTTGGTTTCTCTAAATTTCAAATTTTCATAAATTTAATTTCAATTAAATTTTGGCTGTAAATTTCAATAATTTTCTTTTTTCTTTGGTGTTTCATTTTTAAAACTCTTGAAGAATTTACATACTCATGAAATTTAGATGCTCATGATTTAGTGAATGAAATCCCATGATAATAAATAGATAGAAATGTACCGTAAATAAGCTATGAGTATCGTTGGTCGTGAATTGTTATGGTTCTTCTGATGAGCTCAGTAGGGTCTTAGATTCTTTGTTGAAATAGCCTTAGACAAGTGAGATTATCGTTAATGAAGAAGCTTAAAAATATCGCCGTTACTGGATATCGTCCGATATTGGATACGTTTCTTAAATATTAGTTTTGCTCGTGTTTTTTTATTATAGTTCTGAAAGATGGCGGGTGTGTGATCATCTGAAAATAGTCATCTGAAATGCATATTCTGGAGTTGAGAGAAATTTTTTCGCATAAGGTTAGGAGTGAACTGTTTTGGTTCTTGGGTTAATTTTAATTTTTTCTTCACCTTAATTACACGCTGCTGTAGTGCTGAATCGGATCATGCCATTCGATAATCAAAAATAGCTAGTTCCTTGTTATCTCATAACTTGCTTATTAAGGACGAGTTAGTCGACTCGTATGTTTTCTTAATTAAGGCCAAATTACAAGTTCGGTAACTGCTCGAGTAATTATCATTAAAAATGAAATTCGAGTGGTGATAAAGGTCTAACTTCTGAGATTCTGGTGAAAAAATTAAATTTTATAATGTTCCCTTTCCTTTCAACTATTTTCTTGATTATATTTTTTTGATTTGCAGCGGAATGTTGAATTTTTCCTTTTTTTTTTTCAAAGGGTATTAGAAAATGTTTGATTTTAAGCAATAATTTTCAGACGTTTAACTTTATTTGTGGAGGTATTTTATTAAAGCGGTTCCTTTTGATCTAAAACATTTTGTAACTTCAGGGTGGTCCTCAAACAAGTTCCCGAACTTTTTCAAGTTTATGTTTTTGTTGCTTGAACAGTTGCACGGAATTTTTGATTTATTATTCTAATTTATCGAAAGAAAATAATCGAATTTATATATATAATGATACAGCAATCGTTGAGAAAAAAAAAAGCAAATATTTTTATCAGAAATATAAATTTTTCAAGATTGCGAGAAATATTTGCTTTAACGTGCTTTCAGTTCATATATTTGATCCTACATCCTTATAAATTTGTTGGTTGGTTCTTCTAATGGCATGCACCATTTCTGGTTTGGTTCCACACACTGATTATTGAGGGTTATTTCGTCAGAGGGCGAAATGAAGGTGCAGTTGAAGCCAATCGAATTCCGTTTTCAAGAGAGATTTTATTGCTATCAAGGAATAAGAAATCATTGCCGAAACAATTTATATTCCCTTAAAATTATTTTCGAAAAGGAATCAAAAATATTTCTTTAAAAAGTAAAACATAAAGGCATGTATTTTCCAGTTTAGTTTTTTGTTCTAACATATTTTAAAGCCATTTAAAGTCTACGAATCGTCTAAGAATTTGCAGAAAGGCAAAACATTAGAAACGTTCTTCGTCTTCGATAGGCGATAGAGGCTCATTGCAGTTTTCTGGCTGTTGAATTTCAGCCCAATAAGTAAAACCAGCCAAATCGGAATATCGTTAGAAGGAAAAAGAATAATTCTAATTTCATCATTAATGAAAGTACTAGAAAGTATTATAAGTAAAATTTTTCTTTAAATATAGTTCATTTTAATTTGATAATTTGAAGCCAATGGAATGCCATAAAATATTTTGTGAAGAAGAAAATAGAATTTATGTCGTAAAAATTTAGCAAAAATATTATAATTTACCATTTCGAGTTCGCCTAAATCCATTAGTTTTTAATAGATCTTTTCACTTGAGGGTCAATTAACGACAAATATAGAGATCTGTATGGATCCCTAGCACCAAAACATAGTTCAGGCTTGGTGTAAATTATATGGATCTATTGGACATATGGATTCATAGCACCAAAACATAGTTCAGGCTTGGTATAAATTATATGGATCTATTGGACGTATGGATCCATAGCACCAAAATATTGCTTGAAAACAAAGCTTAATTATAAATTACTTACTCCATCGATAATATTCTTCAAAAATAATCTATTTAATTGTAATGATCAGTCATATTTGTGGGCAATGTGCAAGATTTTTGCAAAAAGCATAATGCTGAAAAAATGCATTTTTCATCGTTTTGTCTACAGAAATCGAACATTTCGTGGTTGTAAATCATCGCATAGAACAACTGAATGACATATCGAAATTGTCGAATTTATTATGTTTCGGCTGACTTATATCCAAGGCATTTTTTTCCCAATTTATTTGTAAATTTGCAACGATTCAATGATCACTAATTTTTCTTAATTTATTAACGAAATTTAATACTCCTACGATCGAATATTTTCTTCAATTATGAAATAATAATACAAATAATAATACAATAATAATATTATTATGAAATAATAATACAAATAATAATAATTTACTTAATTAATTTATTTAAAAGAAAAGAAAATTATCGATAATGCCGGATGATGAAGATTTTTAACGTATTGGAGGACCAGCGATATATGGATTTAGGCGATGGAAAAAGGAATGGCTTCTATTACTACTAGCGATGGCATCGGACCGAGCAGCTTGGAGATGTCTTCCCTTGTAGCCAGCGGAGTTAGTCTAACCAATAATGGTGAGAGCTGTTAGAAGAAGAAGAAGGATAGTGCTGGGCGATTCGCCTGTATTTCTCTGAACCAAAATTCTACTAAAAGCCAGTGGAATGACCATATTTCACTTGATAAATATAGTCTATTGGATTTTTCATTTGTCTTTTTAATTTCCGAGCCTTCAAGAATTTCAATTTATCGAAATTATTGCAAAGCACATACTATAATAAAAAAATTCTTTGCAAATAAATTTTCAGTTTTCATCAATTTTCATAGTTTCTAAAATATTCACCGCTTCCTTCTTAATCCACTTTTTCATCGCATTTAATGATCAACTGAATATTTATAATAAAAATAATCAAATTAACTTGAATTCGTAATTTTTTGTTCCAAGAGCGTTTACATTTCTGGCTTACTCCGCTGGCTTGTCGGAGCAAACAAATTTAGCACGAACGTTTAGGAATGCAGGTGAATCTCCAGAATCACCGAGATTTTTGAAGAACAAGTTTATTCTTACCGGGCCCTCAGTATTTGCGCACCGAATCGAGCAATCGAACCCACTCAATTATTCCATTTCTTCCTTTTGCTTTCACCATTGATGCTCGATGAAACGTGCTGTGTTGGTCTAATTCGAACTCGAGCCATTCTGGATTCACGGGTTTCAATAAGCTCCATATGATTGAATTGTAGCCGTTCTCAAGCAAATTTTAAAATTTGGAAGAACTTTTATCCTATCCTAGGAAGGCTCAAGTTAACTTTTTCTGTTAAATTGCACCACATTCCTCAAAGAAAAAGAATTGGAATCTGGTACCATGGAATAAGCGTTCGTTTCTATTTTTCAGACATTTTATCCACGGTAGTATGTGCTAAGTACCGTCTGTAAATTTAAAAAAACTACCATCAATTGAAAAAAAATTTGCATTATTGCAGTATAAAAAAAAGATTATTTTTCTGATTCTGCTTAGATATGTTAATCAAATTTTATATTATTTGTTAGTTTTTCTCATTTTTTATGTCGTAAAACGCCTTTTTTATTGAGAAATACAAAATTTTTCATAAAATATTAAATAAATCTTAAATTTGAAATCGAAGATGCAATGGGATTAAGCATCGGCAACTCGAAGACGGCACTGGTCTAAGTCATATATCCGTCACTTTTATGAGACTACGTCAATTGTCAGTTGTTCGACTTATTAAAATGCCCAATTATTTTACCATTAATTTATTTGCTTAATTTATTTTAGCAATAATTTATTCTTTAAGTTAAAATATTATATGAATTATCATTTTATAAATAAGTAAGTAAATTGATTAAAATAAACGACTTAATTTTTAATGTTTCATTACAATATTGTTAGTGAAGAAACATGCTATTTTAATTTCAGATTTTATTCGAAATATAGAATCAATTAAAAAAGTATTCCTTAAAATTTCTTATTCGATATTTTCCCTATTTTATGCACTATAGGCTATACGAAGATGAAAAACGATAGAACTGGAAGATTAGAAGGTGAAGAAGAAGAAATGGCTCTGTCATTTTCAGCTTAGAAATGCTTTATCCTTGCAGCAAGTAATAATGTACGTGGACGTGGTACCAACCTTCATCTTTAGATTACCTAGTTATTGAGTGCGAAATTAAGTTGTTATTTTGTCGCCCAAAATGTTTCTTGTATTGCTGTGGAGTAACTCAGCTGTCATACGGTAATATTTAATAATTGGCTTCTAAAATAGATTTTCTCTCCTATCCTAA